TTCTATCTTCACGTTCCACGAGTGGACAGTGGTAAGTCTATGGACAATAAAATTCGGGTTTTGATTCTCCGTGGTGGGCACAACAGATAGCCCCGATGATGAAAAAACCTTGTCGAAACGTTGTACATTTGCTGTTATGTTAAACTTATATTAACGTTTTTCTTCATTACCCATTCAAGCCGTCTCCAACCATTAGGTTTCAAATCCTTCAAGCTGAATCCAGTGGATTTCTGGCCTTGTAGTTACGTGGGGTGATAGAAGTCAGGGGCGTCATTTGGGAAGGGTGACAGGAACGGTCACCCTCTTCAAGTTCGGAATGGGACCCAAAATGGCAGTTTCAACGAGACATTTCTAGTCAGACTGTATTAATACTTATATACAAATTATGGCGTAGTGTAAATCCCCAGCTGAATTGAGGACCCACACAAGGGCAGCCGTTTTTTCCTTTTTTTTAAGTCCAGATTGTCAGGTTCAGAGAGATAAGCAACGTCCCTACGCCTAGTAACATCAATCAGAAAGGTTCTATAGACTTTCTTGTGTTTTCAATAAATGAAGTTGTCGTCTTTTTTATTATATTTATCTCAACTTTCATTGGTATGATTCTTTTAGTATAATAAGTAATGTTTTTGTTTAGACCAGTCAGTTTCATTAACTCTTGCAGAACCTCCTGTTCATGAGAGCTTACTCGTGTGCTTATATCCTGTAATCAATACCACACGTAAACGCAATATATAATGTGAAAATATCATGTAATGTGTGCAAGTTAGATCTTTTTAACCTGGCAGAAATACTACAGCAGTAATATAATTTTATAAAATGTCAGTTAGTCCATTAAAATAGTTTCACGGTGTTCTTTTTCTGTCAAGTTACGAAGATTTAACTTCAGTATTAACACAGTTACTTGTAATACTCGATTCAAGTGCCTTTCGAATAGTGTTGTGACTTTCAAAATTGTTTTTAAGTAGAAAATTGTTGTGTGGATTATCATTTAATTAGAAAATATTAAAACAACGAAAACAGAAAAGGTACTGTATAATAAGTGCATTAATTTTGTAATGTTTAGTAACATCGAAATGCTTTGAAACAAACAAAAGATTCATGACTGTTTGATTATGGTTGGAGTATATTAGTACATAAAGTTTCATGTGTGTTTGTATACATACGTATATGTATATAATTCTAGACATTTCATGTGTATCTAGCCTCCTAGTGGCTCAGCGGCAAGTCTGCGGACTCCCACCGCAATAAAACGGTGTTCGATAATCGTGGTGGGAACAGCATACATAGCCCATTGTGTAGCTTTGTGCTTAACAAGAAACAAACATAAAAACTTCTATATATAAAGATATTTACTCATAATTGCATAAATTTGTAAACTATAACAGCCAATTCCAAAATAATTAGTCTAATTTTGCTGGATTAAGGAATGTTAGACGTCTAATAAAAAATAAAATCTAATTAAGTTTTAGTGGTTTAGTGTAGCATAAGATGTAGAGACTAGATTGGTTTCAGCATCATCGCAATGACGACACATTTTCCTAGTTAGTTCGTGATTCAAGAACTTCATACGCTTTACTATAGCTATAAAACATTTTATGGGTTTTTGAAATGCACCAACTAAACTGTAAAATTTATGGTAAAAGTAATTAGATAGGATGAACCGTGCATATTACCGAAGTGTTTTATATCTACCCCGCAGTATCCTTCTCCGTCTCAGATTGGTTTTAACGAATAAAAATCTATGGTAAAAGTAATTAGATAGGATGAACCGTGCATATTACCGAAGTGTTTTATATCTACCCCGCAGTATCCTTCTCCGTCTCAGATTGTTTTTAACGAATAAAAATCTATGGTAAAAGTAATTAGATAGGATGAACCGTGCATATTACCGAAGTGTTTTATATCTACCCCGCAGTATCCTTCTCCGTCTCAGATTGTTTTTAACGAATAAAAATCTATGGTAAAAGTAATTAGATAGGATGAACTGTGCATATTACCGAAGTGTTTTATATCTACCCCGCAGTATCCTTCTCCGTCTCAGATTGTTTTTAACGAATAAAAATCTATG